CAGTCACATTCACGCAAGGTATGTGTGTATGAATATGTGCATATATGAAGGCTTACTCTGTGTCACTGTGTGTGTGTAGAGGCAGCTGGGTCCAATATTGGGGTGTATATCCAACAAAACAGTATGTCAAATCAATCCATCAAGCTTTCTCTGTGACATGTTCAGGGAAAAAGAGAAAAGTGTGTGCACATACAATGTACTCCTTGCATCATGCAAGCACACACACACACACACACACACACACACACACACACACACACACACACACACTTTGCCTTTTCTCAGTAATCCACACAAATGGCAGTGGATGGCAGAATGTAAATGAGCTGGTTATTACACAGCAACGTTCATCAAGCTGAGCTGGAAAGACTTCAATGGCCCTGATGAATATGCATGCAAATTTGTTAATTAAGTTAATTATTCTGCTGAAAATTCATTTGTCTTCCCAAGGACATTTCTGCGATGATTTTAACATGTTTCCACCATTAGTCATGCACTGTGCTATTGAAAATCACTTCTGTTCACCTTTTGGAAAGTTGCGGCCAAAAAGGGGGATAGAACACCTACAAATGAGGAGGAGGAGGGACGAAGCAGGTAGAGGACAACATATCAGGGGTGTGGAGTGTGGTCGGAGGTAGACGGCAGCTGGTGCAGCCTGAGGATAAGGACGGGTAAGCCAAAAAGCATGTTCTGTAGGATATTAGCTCAGTGGGTAGAGCATAGCGTTAGTGCCAGGTCTGGGTGTCCAGTTCTCATTGTGACAATCCAAAAAATGAGTTCATTCATAGTACTGCAAAGTACTTAGTCTAAACATACGTAAATGTTATGTGATATTATGTGATTTGATACAGTTGACCATGCAGTCCTTGTATCTCGCCTAGAGCAGCACGTTGGCTTCCGTGGCACCGTTCTCCAGTGGTTTAGGTCATACCTGGCAAACAGGAGTTTCTCTGTCTCGATTGGTGACCACTGCTCCTCAAATGCATCGCTGCCCTGTGGGGTGCCACAGGGATCTATTCTCAGCCCTATTCTGTTTTCATTGTATATGCTACCTCTGGGATCAATTATAAAAAAACACAACCTGTCTTTTCACTTTTATGCCGATGGTTTGCAGATATATTTGCCCATGACACCAAACGAAAACACTGCACTTACTAAGCTGCTGGACTGCGTCACAGATATAAAACAGTGGCTGTCACAGAACTTTTTGCACTTAAATGACAGCAAAACTGAATGCATTTTGTTTGGTTCACCAGCTATGTCGAATGTTCTCACCACAAATTCTGGCACTCTGGCCCCTCTTTTTAAATCACATGTCAAAAATCTTGGGGTAACATTTGATACTGGGCTCAAATTTGACAAACAGATTAGCTCTGTTGTCAGTACGAGCTTTTTTCAGCTCCGTCTTTTGGCCGAAGTGAAGTCTTTTCTCAGTCGGCAGGATCTTGAGAAGGCAATCCATGCTTTCATCAGCTCAAGACTGGACTACTGCCCGATTTCTAACTAGCTCGTCCAGACGCGAACACATTACCCCTGTGCTCCCTAGGTCGAGACTTAAACAGTGGGGCGATCGTTCTTTTGCCGTCGCTGCTCCTAGACTGTGGAACAAACTGCCCCCTGACATTCGCACCACTACTGATCTCGGCCTTTTTCAAATCGCAGCTTAAGACCCACTTTTTTAGATTAGCATTTAATTCTGACTAGGACAGTACTGTCTCTTAGGTGTACTCTTTTTATCTGCTCCTTTCTGTGCATTTCTGGAAGGCTTTTAATACCCTGCAGTGCTGCAGCACTACAGCACTTTTAATTGTTTTTGTATATTATATATGTGTTATGTATTGTTTCATGGCTTTGTTGTAAAGCACTTTGGGTACCTTTCGGCTATTGTAAAGGGCTATACAAATAAACTTGATTTGATTTGATTTGATTTGATATGAAGTGAACTTCAATGCTAGATACCACTGGATCTTACACACCAGTCATTTAAGATATATTCCCATACATTATGTCATGTTATGCCATGTTATAGGCTTAACTAATTCAAGCTCATATTTTGTTTTCAGACTAAAATGATCCTCATCTGTAAAGCCATCAAGAGTATAAACTCAAAACACTGCTGATCATATGATTGGAATTGAAGCTAAGCCTGCAGGCATGCACTCGGACAATCATATTGCTAAGAGATCATTTACATTTACATATCTGTAATTTTGACCATGCTATCTTATTTCTTGACAATTGTGCAAGGAAATGCAACACCAGGGTAATACATACCGTGAAGGAAAACCATAATAAAATAAAATAAAACAAAATGTCCTGGGAATACAGCTATCTCTACTTACTGGAGGCCTTATGTATATTCCCATGTTATGTTTCTAGTGTAATGTCGTTATGATATGTTACCTAGTCTCAAAGCCTTGTCCTTGTCCACAGTCCTTCTCCAATTATTGTCCAGTCCTGCCACACAGTAATCAGAATAAGTTACATGAAATACTTGTAAATGAGAAACATTAAAAGTGAAAGTTACAAAGTAATAGAAGCTGTAAAAAATATATAAAAAAAGTAAAAAATAAGCCAGATGGGAAAAATTTTGCAAGAAACATCAGGACGCACTGTTTGATACATCAAATGGCCAGTCTTACAAGAGGCAGCTAAGCCTTTTCAGTAGGCCTAGTCTGAATATCCAGATGTTTGATTTGTTAATTAAGTCTCCATGGTAGTTAATCACTGTGCTTTTCTATCTGACAACAGCAGGTAAGTAGAGGAGGATGACCCTAAAATATAGAGATATGATGGTGTGGGATATACAGAGACAGGCTGCATTCGTTCTTTGTGTAGAACATTTGTGTTTGAAAACACACCGACAGCCAAAAAAGTTGTTGACTCAAAGAAAAGAAGAAAAAAAAACCAAGCAGAAACATGGAAATATATTCAAAGCAGTACATCTCTGAAGCTCTTTTGTAGGGACTAATAATGTTTTTTGTCAGTCTATGAGAGAGTACATACAGTATTTTGTGTCTTTTTATGGAGAGTACATCAGATTGTAATCACTAATGTGGCCCAGTAATGATGATGAAACAAACTGCATTATGCCAATACCCATGTCCCCTCTAGTGGAGAAACGTAGTACTGCAGTGGCAAAATAAAGGCCAAGATACAGCATGATGGTGTTTGTTTCATATCTATCATCTAGCAAATACACATTTTTTAATAACAAACACCCTTCTAGATTCATGAATAAGCAAAACACATGTGTTTGCATGTATGTGCGAGGTCTGCGTAAGACACTAGATCTAATCCCTTTTTAAAACATTTGATTCCCATGACAAATTCAATCAGGATGAGTTGCATTAGTGAAATGTCATACATGCCAATGTATGTCATACGAGGATTAAGTCATCTATATTTGTTCACTAAAACAGTTGTTTGTAATGATAAGGCTGACACACTTAATCGATTTGCACACATTTCCCTGACAGTCCAGATTAACAAGCAATAAGACTTTATTAGCAGCATGCACAAAGCACACACACACACACATTTACACATTTGCAAGGCATCAATTAAATTCACATATGGTTGGAGTAATTATCGTTATAGATAACTGAAATTAAAGGGGAGATATCAATGTGAAAAAGGAGGCTGAGTTGCCCTGGAGAAAAGCAGAGCAGGGAGTGAATGTTAGGGCCAGGGAGGGCTAGTAGCAGAGACTACATAAGAAAACAGCAACAGCTGTTTAGCTTGTGGCTAAAAACAGGATGGAACAACAACATCATTTGCTGAGAAAATGATCTGGGAAAAGCGATTCTGACTCAATGATGAAATAGGATGTCTTGGATTGTATTTTCTATTTGAGCTTTGTGGGGTGTGTTTTCTTGTGTATTTACCTAGTCTGGTCTTTTCTCTACGGTCATTGATGTTATTAATTCTTGCCACAAACTTCCTGCATATTGTTTCACTTGCATATTAAAAACAAAACTCAAAAAGCAAATCTTGAGACCTTTTCCCACCAGCTGACACTTCACATAAAGGTAATATCGTCTCTAACAGAGGTTTAATCACTTCCTTCTCAGAAATGCTGATAAATCCAAAAGCTGTTTGCAAACACTCATAATATAAATTAAAATATATAAATATAATATAAATTGTTGTAACATGACGAACTACATACAAGATAGGGGGATGGCTGCCGCACATAGGTGCAATGCAGCTTTGAAACTTCTCTGCTCATAGCTCACTGGTATTTTGTCTTTACAGGCTGCATAACAAAACATTACAGACTAAATACAGGTCATTTTACACTAGGCTATATTTACTTGTACATACAACTTTATAGCTGTATCCAATTTTTGCTATCACACACAGATAAAATTCGGCACAAAACCCTCTCCCAGCGCCTGCCAGCAAATGTGTGAGCACACCCGTGACTGCTCTGCCCTTGACTTGTATCCATTCATCCAAGCGTGCTGGATGGTTTAGTTAATTAAGCTTAATCTACCCCCAGAGACAGATATGAGTGCTGTTACAGTGGCCCACTGAGCTGTCCCTATACACTCTTCTCTGGACCCCCCGTGGAGCCATCCGGGCCGCGCTACTCAACCATGTTCAAGTGCACTGACAGGGCTCTGGAGAAACATATTACATACAATAGAGTTAAAAGATTTAGAACATTGAAAAAGAAAGGGAAAAAAAGGATTGTGGATTTTTTTAATTACTGAAATAATACAGCTAAATTACTTTACTGTTTTCTGGCACACGTCATTTTAAAAAAAAAGCTGCCAAGAGCACATGGACTGTTGAGTTAGGCATACTTGACTGCTTATGGTCTTAATCACAAATATGCAGTCTGTTATATTTTATTGATCCTGCTGCTGCTGAGAGCTAATTTGTTTATTGTGTGTCACATAGACAAGGTCACTCCAGAGGGAAATACTTCCTTAACATATTGGTTGATACATGAAAAAACAGAAGAAGAGGAAATAAATCAGATTCCAGAGAACCATATTCGAAACTGCTTTATTTGCAGTTACAGTGGATACACAAGGAACATTGCCAAGTTAAATGGTGCTTACACGTATGAAGACATAGAGGGGTGGATTTAACATCAGATATATTAACTTAATATTGTTTGATGTGAAATGATTGATGAAATGAATATTAAGCCTAATAAACACAAATCACAAACACATATTTCATAATTATGATTCTTTTCTCCTTTAAACAATTGACCAGAAGAAATTACAACCAGCCTTCATTTTTGTTGCCATCTTGTGGGTTGAGTTGTTCAGTGCAATAAAATCATCTTAACAAGGTCTTAAGTGCTGATTTAAGTGAGAAAAATTGCAATCAAGAACAAAGTTTTAATACATATGGATCACTGCTGTTTTATTGTCATTTCGTAAAATAGTGACTTTAGTTTTGTAAAACGTTACTGTCACTTCCTTTTTTCAAGCATTTTTTTATTAGATCAAGTCACTCTTCCTCTTTCTAAAGAGCCAGTATTGCAATAATCACCAAATATCAGTTCCACTGCATCCTGTGTTGTCTTTCATTATGCATCAGTTTGTTTATCTTTAATGCAATCTACAAGTTACATGATCATCAGCGTTTCTTTTTTTGTTTCTGTCCGTGTTATTCTGTTGCAACTGACCGTTTTCTAAATTCCTCTTCCATAATGTAACATTTGCCAAATCAAATACATCGTTAGCTCTCAGAGATGTCATCCCTTTAATGAGCCAGGGGAAAAGAACTCAAAAACACAATATACTATAAGCTATATACTGAATTACTCAAATAATTTTGAGTGGTCATTAAATCCGATATGGTTATTGTAAACTGCCCTGTGAGAACAGAGAGCTTGACAGGCATAGCGAACAGTTTGTAATTACTTCTAACCATAAAGTTTGGTTATTCAAAGACACATGTTTGTTGGTCACACAGTGGCATCATTTAGAGGAGTGATTGCCATTGAAGTGAGAATGTCACATGTCTCTCGGATGAAGTGTTACATGGAACAGGGAGATGCCTCCTAAATCTTTGTGCTCCAAATAAATGCAACAACGGATTCAGGAAGCAGTGGATGTAAGGCAGTGTGGGAATGATGAACCCTGAATAGTACATTGCTGTTCTCCATTCTGCAAAATCCAGAACATCGAACGCAAACAAGTAATGTATAAAGAGGAAAAGATTGTATGGCAACAAAGAAAGGAAAAAAGTAACAGTCATCCCCAGAATCAATCTAGAGGCCTGGTAATGTCTGTTTATCCTGCACTGTTTGATAGTTATCCACATATGGACGAAGCAGAATGTTATGATAATGAAGAGTATAAAGAAAAGCCCCAACTTCAAGCCGGTGACAGAGAGCAGCATAATAAATGACTGTGGAACATACATACATATCATATAACCAGATGCGTGTGTGACAGTACTATTTACTAATACCTCAATGCTCGCAGCAGCACACACCAGCCATATCACAATGCTAGCCATGCGGACACCACATTTTTTGCTGGTCTGTGCAGATAGACACGAAGCATGGACCACGACAACATAATGATACAAAGTCATGGCAGTGAGGATCAATATGTAGCTTTCCACACCAAGAACAAAAGCCCCATTTATGATTCCACAGACCTTGTCCAAAAAGCTCCAGCCATAGAGCAGACTGAAAGCCTTAAATGGGAGGGACAAAGTGAGGCAAAGGTCAGAAATTATGAGTTGCAGAAGCAAGATGTCAGTTGTGGTCTTCCAAGCTCGTTCCCTTAGAAGGCCCCACAGGAGGAAGCTGTTTCCGGGCACGCTGATGCAGAAGATGAGGATGAAGCACACAAAGGAGGAGAGAAGAGGTCCTGTTTTTATCTCGACATGATGACCCACGAAGCTGATGTCATTTTCATAGTCTATGTAGTAGTCATAGTCGTAACTGATATTGTAGTCACTGTCAAGGGCCATTGTTTGCTTGTTGATGTCTTTGAGGAAGTGACAACGACTCTGATAAATACATTAACATATTATGTTAATTCCTTACAATACATTTTAAATTTGTGCACAACTTTCACATGACTTATTGAATAAATAAATAAATAAATAAATAAATAAATAGTCTGTATATGTCATGTTATTTAATGACAACACTCATGGAACAAAACAAGGATATGGAATTAAAGTCACAAGATACTGACAGAAACTTGCGAATATCTCTGTATGAAAACGTGGATTGTGTGCTCAAAAAACTTAATGACATCATACTGACACAGTATTTTGCATTAGATATGTAATTGACAATAAGTTAGCCTACCACATAGGTCATAAGAAGTATAAAATGTATGTGAAAATTAAAGAATAATACTGAATATATGTGCAACTTTTATAATAAACAAAAAAGAGGCAATGCTAACTGTAATTTCTTTCCCGACCCTTAGCACCTTTGAGGAAGTAAAGGATTATGTATTTGTTTTTGTTACATTTTTTGAATTGGGATCAGCAAATACAGCAAATACAATTCATGACAATATATTCTTTATCAATTAAAGGTCATTCACAGTAGACACCTCATTAACATACTGGCATACATACAAGGTTTGTCTACTCATCATATTCAATTTGTCATATTCTCAAGTTGTATACAATATTCTCACGTTTCATTCAGTGATTTATTAGTGTTGTTTTATCCATGTCATGTTTCAATACATACTATCAGAATCTGAATCAATATTGTCAGGTTTTGAATTATTTTCCAAAGTAAATGAATGCATGAATGAACATAAAACATAAAAGAGATAAAATACCAAATACCAAAGAGACCTTACCTTGAACATGTACTCAGTGTGACTCCAGGTACTGTTTGCTGTTTTACTCAGTAGTTGTATTATGAGTGTCTCATTGAGTTAAAGTTTCACTCTCTGGGACTTTTCCCAGAGGGAAGTACCATGTCACAATATTTGGTTGAAAAAAATAGACATGAAAACAGCTAAACTAGATTTCCAGCATAACTTTATTAAAAACTGTTACAATAAAACAGCTCAATCATAAAGTTCATTCATAAGGTCTGAGAAAGCATTCATACTGATCATCATACACACTGGCATGCTTTAGATTGTTTTCATGCAGCATTTACTTGGAACATTGGTAGCACTTGGGTCAACTTTGGTTGTTTTAAAGTGCTTAACAAATAAAGTTGCAAAGCAATACAAAGCAATAAAGTATAAGATATGTGTATGTGTGTGTGTGAGTGTGTGTGGGAGTGAGTGTGTGCGAAAGAGAAAGAGAGTGTGTGTGTGTGTGTGTGTGTGTGTGTGTGTGTGTGTGTGTGTGTGTGTGTGTGTGTGTGTGTGTGTGTGTGTGTGTGTGTGCTTACGTGTGCATGTGTGTATGTGAAGGAGAGAAGGTGTTAAGCTTTAGTGAACCTTAGGGGGGTTGGGCCCCCGAGGTTGGCAACCAGTGCATCAGAAGTTGAGTTAAATAAAGGGATGCAAGTGCTCAGCAACAATACTAGTATTAGTTGTCGCATTTAAACCATGATCAATTGGTATTAAGGGGGCCTAATGTGTGCCAAGAAAATATTACCACACCCTAACACCACCACCGGTAGCCTGAACCTTTGACACAAGGCAGGATGGATCCCTGAATTCATGTTGTTTACGCCAAATTCAAACACTACCATCAACATGTCACACCAGAAGTCGATCATCAGATAAGGCAAAGTGTTGAAATCTTTTCCTGTCCAGTTTTGGTGAGTCAGTGCGTACTGTGGCTTCAGTTTCCTGTGGAGCCATCATGTTCAGGTGCACTGACAGGGCTCTGGGAAAACACATTACAAATAAGAGAGTTAAAAGATTTGTACTACAGAGGAAGATAAAAAGGTTTGTGAAATATTTCAATTACTAAAATAATACAGCTAAATTACTTTACTGTCGGAATTTCTGGCACACATAATTTTAAAGAAAAGCAGCCAAAAGCACAACACACAATGTATTGTTAGTTATCATCCTGAAAGCCTTTTCACTTGTAACACTATAAGTGAAAACATAATGTTTAAAAATGTCTTACAAGTGGGCTATATAAGCTAAGTAGCCAAACAGGGTTATGTTAGAATGAAACAAGTCTTACTTTGTATAACTGATTCCCAACAACCATTTGGTTGGAATAAAATAAAATAATATATTGTAAAATACAGTGCGAAGTGAGAGGAAAGAAGCAGCTCTCAGCAATGTCAAACATTTAAAGATATTCAAGCCTGGGGACAAGAACTCAAAAACACAGTACAATAAGCTCTATACTCTATATAGGTTTTATGCCTAACGTTGACCGTGAAGGTGCCCTTATTTCAATAAATCTGAAAACACAAATTAGCTGTTTTTCTGTCTGTGATCAATGCAACGGGTCCTCCTATGTGAGTTTGGAAGCTTTCATATGTTACACATGGGAGGTGGGGGGATGTGAACACCAACCCGGTTGGCAATACTTACTGTAAATAGAAAAAAACATAGCATTTTTCAAACCCCTAGCACCTTTGAGGAAGTAGAGGATTATGTATTTGCTTTTGTCACATTTTTTAAATTGGGATCAACAAATAAAATTCATGACAATATATTCTTTATCAATTAAAGGTCATTCACAGCAGACACCTCATCAACATACAGGCACATACAAGGTTTGTCTATTGATCATATTCAATTTAATGTCATATTATCAAGTTGTTCAATATTCTCATGGTTCATTAAGTGATTTAATAATGTTGTTTTATCCATGTCATGTTTCAATACATACTCTCAGAATCTGAATCAATATTGACAGGTTTCATTTCATAGTCTTGTAAATCTTGCATTGTTTATTTTTTTTAGAATTATTTTTCAAAGTAAATGAATGCATGAATGAACATAAAACACCAACTACCAAAGAGACCTTACCTTGAACATGTACTCAGTGTGACTCCAGGTACTGTTTGCTGTTTTACTTAGTAGTTGTATTATGAGTGTCTCATTGAGTTAATGTTTCACTGTCTGGGACTTTTCACAGAGGGAAGTACCATGTCACAATATTTGGTTGAAAAAATAGACATGAAAACAGCTAAACTAGATTCCAGCATAACTTTATTAAAAATTGTTACAATAAAACAGCTCATTCATAAAGTTCATTCATAAGGTCTGAGAAAGCATTCATACTGATCATCATATACACTGGCATGCTTTAGATTATTTCCACACAGCATTTACTTGGCACATTGGAAGGGGAGGATGAAGGGAAACTGTTGCTATCTGCAACTTCAACACTAGATGCCACTAAATCTTACACACTTTAAAGAAATGTATAATATATATATATATATATATATATATATATATATATATAATGTACATAAATATATACCCAAATACACCCACATACTTTAAGGAATTAAGCAAAACATTAAAAATAACCCGTGAAAGGAAATTAATCAATTAACAGTATTGCATAAAGGTACCTACAGATTGAATAAATGTTTCATTTCAAAAGTGAATGTCTATTTTGAGGGTAGTTCCAACATAACAGCAGAATTCTGTGCAATAAACGCTACATTCTGAATAACAGAAGTGCTCTGGACAGTGCTTCTCTCCCTGTTCTTCTGCCTGGCATTCTCACAGTGTAAAAGTTTCAAAAGATGTCTTCGCAACTTTTGTGAGAGCATATACAAAAGAGGGTTCATACAGCAGTGAGAGTAAGCAAGTATACGACAAATATTATAGGCAGTCTCAAATCTATTTGTCAAATAACAGCCTATGGGTATATAAAAAGTTGCGATGAAAAGCAAAATATTGTAAGGTCCCCAGCAGATGAGGAAGGCTGTAACAATACATAACACCACCACTACAGTCCTTTGCCTTTTTCTGTTTGAGGCTTGCAGAACTGTCTTAAGGATGGCAGAATAGCAGAAAACAATGATGGCAAATGGGAGGAAGAAGAGCAGCGACACTTGGAGGTAATATCCCACGTTGACAACAGAGCTATTAGAGGGACCCACACAGAAGAAACCATTGAGCCCTTGGTTGGTTTCCACCTTTACTTTGATAGCATCGCTAATGGCAGCAGCAATACTGATGACCCAAGCAGCTGCACAGGTGCCCATTGCACACCTCTGCCTCCTTCCATGGTTGCTTGGCCAGTTGTGCAGCACCACTGTTATGAAACGATCCACAGTCATGGCAGTCAGCAGAATGACGCTACTGTAAGTACCAACAAAGTATGTTGCAGTCATAAATTTGCAGGCAAAGTCACCAAAGACCCAGTGGTGCAGCTGATCGGCGGCATAGAATGGAAGTGTGACAGTAAAGACCAAATCAGAGCAGGCCAGGTTCACGACAAACAGATTTGTGACATTTGTCAAGTTCTCGTAGGCGATAAGAACACATAAGAGGATAATGTTGACTGTGACACTGATGATGAAGAGCAAAATGTAGAAGACACCACTGAAGGTTTGGAAGTCAAAAAGTCCACAATCATGTTCTCCAAAACCACTGTCGAACTCACTTTGGTTGTTCATTGTGGAGTTGTAGGTTTTCTAGAAAATATGAGCACAAAATGAAATGTGACTGAGCACATGTCTCCAACCTTTCAACAAATCTGTGATTTAAAAAAAATTTTTCTCTGACAAATTTTAAATATGGAGCAGAATAAGCTTTTTTACTCATTTGACATGAAATAGAAGAGTAAACAAAGGTGTTACCAACGATACTAATTAAGTTCCATTAAGTGTAACAGAGGATGGAATAGGACGTTCTCCAGTGTCATTGGTAACACCTGTGGTTGCTATGCCATTTCAAAATGACTGCTGTAAAAAACATCAATTTCAATAGCTCCTTAAATTATGGGGAGCAATAACAGTAAGTATAAAGCAGCTTACCCTGAACAACGGCTGTCACGTCTTATGCTGATTTGTACTGTGAAGGAAAAGTTGTGAGATGCAAGAGCAAATTCATGGTTCCTCTTTTTGTTTCACATTAAGTCAGAGGTGCTGCATCAGTATTCCAGTTTGAGAAAAAGCATACTCCGAATTCAAGTAGAAGAACGTCTTGGACGTTCAGCTTTTACCTGGAAACAACACTGAGGGTGTTTCACAATTCAAAACAAAGAAGTTACGTCCAATACTTCACTTGGTTATGTCAGAGTAAAATGGCACGTGTAGCTCTTTCATGTGGTCTGAGAACAAACATTTCTAGAATACATGAATGTCTCTCTTGGTTTGAAGTGAAAAACAGATTACTGTATTCACTGATGGTTTTTATTAGGACAATGTCATAACAACAAAGACTTCATTTATGTTCTACAAAAGACTATCCTTTAGCACAAATACTCACAGTTATTTTGCAAGGCATGCTGCTGGAGGTTGTTTTACTTTACCAAAATCAAAAACCACATCAGTTCAGCTTACAGTAATATACAGAGCAATGCTAGAGTGGGATTCAGTTCCAAATCATATTATTCAACAAAATAATATATAGGTTTTAAAGAAATGCCGAAAGAGCACTATTTAAAAGGAAACTAAGTAATTAATGTTGTTTTGTGGTGGTTGGTTATTATTATTTTAGCATTTCTGATAAGTCCATCAATGATAACCAAACAACCTTCTGAATCTATTATTGAGGTTTCATTGCAATATGGAGTGTTTTTATTTATCAAGATGGCTACTCCTCTTTTTGTAAAATTATGATGCTGAAAAAATTTGATTTATCCATTTTGTCTTAAGCTTTAGATGTTCTGATACTGTGGGATGTGTTTCCTGTAAAAGGCAAAAATGATTAAGGATTTGTGTACATTTTGCCGGTGATCCAATGCCCTGAATATTCCAGTAAATGAGTTTAAGAGATGGCATTAGGGGTAATATGATGGATTGCTGCTGAAAATGTCCATTGCCATTGACAGTCCCTACCATTGTTCGCATTGAAGAACCTCCTATTCATGTATGACAATATAATGTTTACGTATGCAAGTACTAAACAAAAAAAGTAGAGGAAGCAGGCAGTCACCATAATCAACCTCAACAGAACAGCAATCAGCATAAAGAAAAGAGAACAAGTCATAATTACGCAAATACAAAGAGATAAAGTATAAGAAATGTGTATGTGTGTGTGACTGTGTGTGTGAGTGTGTGTGGGAGTGAGTGTGTGCGAAAGAGAAAGAGAGAGAGTGTGTGTGTGTGTGTGTGTGTGTGTGTGTGTGTGTGTGTGTGTGTGTGTGTGTGTGTGTGCTTACGTGTGTATGTGTGCATGTGAGTGTGAGACAGAGAGAGAGAGATGGAAAGAGAAGGAGAGAAGGTGTTAAGCTTTAGTGAACCTTAGGGGGGTTGGGACCCCGAGGTTGGCCACCAGTGCATCAGAAGATGAGTTGACATAAAGGGATGCAAGTGCTCAGCAACAATACTCATATCAGTTGTGGCATTTAAACCATGATCAATTGGTATTAAGGGGCCTAATGTGTGCCAAGAAAATATTACCACACCACAACACCACCACCGGTAGCCTGAACCTTTGACACAAGGCAAGATGGATCCCTGAATTCATGTTGTTTACACCAAATTCAAACACTACCATCAACATGTCACACCAGAAGTCGATCGTCAGATAAGGCAGAGTGTTGAAATCTTTTCCTGTCCAGTTTTGGTGAGTCGGTGCGTACTGTGGCTTCAGTTTCCTGGGGAGCCATCATGTTCAGGTGCACTGACAGGGCTCTGGGAAAACACATTACAAATAAGAGAGTTAAAAGATTTGTACTACAGAGGAAGATAAAAAGGTTTGTGAAATATTTTAATTACTAAAATAATACAGCTAAATTACTTTACTGTTGGAATTTCTGGCACACATAATTTTAAAGAAAAGCAGCCAAAAGCACAACACACAATGTATTGTTAGTTATCATCCTGAAAGCCTTTTCACTTGTAACACTATAAGTGAAAACATAATGTTTAAAAATGTCTTACAAGTGGGCTATATAAGCTAAGTAGCCAAACAGGGTTATGTTAGAATGAAATAAGTCTTACTTTGTATAACTGATTCCCAACAACCATTTGGTTGGAATAAAAAATAAAATAATATATTGTAAAATACAGTGCGAAGTGAGAGGAAAGAAGCAGCTCTCAGCAATGTCAAACATTTAAAGATATTCAAGCCTGGGGACAAGAACTCAGAAACACAGTACAATAAGCTCTATACTACTCTATATAGGTTTTATGTCTAACGTTGACCGTGAAGGTGCCCTTATTTCAATAAATCTGAAAACACAAATTAGCTGTTTTTCTGTCTGTGATCAATGCAACGGGTCCTCCTATGTGAGTTTGGAAGCTTTCATATGTTACACATGGGAGGTGGGGGGATGTGAACACCAACCCGGTTGGCAATACTTACTGTAAATAGAAAAAAACATAGCATTTTTCAAAACCCTAGCACATTTGAGGAAGTAGAGGATTATGTATTTGCTTTTGTCACATTTTTTAAATTGGGATCAGCAAATAAAATTCATGACAATATATTCTTTATCAATTAAAGGTCATTCACAGCAGACACCTCATTAACATAAAGGCATACATACAAGGTTTGTCTATTGATCATATTCAATTTAATGTCATATTCTCAAGTTGTATTCAATAGTCTCACATTTGATTCAGTGATTTATCAATGTTGTTTTATCCATGTCATGTTTCAATCCATACACTCAGAATCTGAATAAATATTTTCACGTTTCATTTCATAGTCTCTTATTTCGATTTCCATATTCTTGTATCTTGTAAATCTTGCATTCAATTTTATTCATTCATATAATGCAAAGTAAATGAATGCATGAATGAATGTGCTGTAACATAAAGAGATAAAATACCACAGAGACCTTACCTTGATCATGTACTCAGTGAGACTCCAGGTACTGTTTGCTGTTTTACTCAGTAGTTGTATTATGAGTGTCTCATTGAGTTAATGTCATACTTTTCCCTTCCCAGAGGGAAGTACCATGTCACAATATTGGGTAAAAAAAAAATAGACATGAAAACAGCTAAACTAGATTTCCAGCGTAATTTTATTAAAAACTGTTACAATAAAACAGCTCATTCATAAAGTTCATTCATAAGGTCTGAGAAAGCATTCATGCACATTATCATACACACTAGCATGCTTTAGATTGTTTTCACAAAGCATTTACTTGGCACATTGGAAGGGGAGGATGAAGCGAAACTGTTGCTATCTGCAACTTCAACACTAGATGCCACTAAATCTTACACACTGATCCTTTAAATAAATGTACATAGAGACCCAAATACACCCACATATCTTAAGGAACTAAGCAAAATATTAAAAAAACCCACACATGAAAGGAAATTAATCCAAACAATATTGCCTAAAAGTACTTACAGATTGAATAAATGTTTCATTTTCTATTTGGAGGGTAGTTACAACATAACAGCAGAGTTTTGTGCAATAAAAGCTCCATTCTGAAGAGCAGAAGTGCTCTGCACATTGCTTCTCTCCCTGTTCTTCTGCCTGGCATTCTTGCAATGTAAAAGTTTCAATAGATGTCTTCGCAAGTTTTGTGAGAGCATATACAAGAGAGGGTTCATACAGCAGTGAGAGTAAGCAAGTATACGACAAATATAATAGGCCGTATCCAATCTGTTCCGCGTATAACAGCCTATGGGTGTATAAAAAGTTGTGATGAAAAGCAAAATATTGTAAGGTCCCCAGCAGATGAGGAAGGCTGTAACAATACATAACACCACCACTACAGTCCTTTGCCCTTTTCTGTTTGAGGCTTGCAGAACTGTCTTGAGGATGGCAGAATAAGAGAAAACAATGATGGCAAATGGGAGGAAGAAGAGCAGCGACACTTGGAGGTAATATCCCACGTTGACATCAGAGCTATCAAAGGGGTCCCCACAGGAGAAAACATTGGGCTCATGGATGATTTCCACCTTTACTTTGATAGCATCGCTAATGGCAGCAGCAATGCTGATGACCCAAGCAGCTGCACAGGCGCCCATTGCACACCTCTGCCTCCTTCCATGGTTGCTTGGCCAGTTGTGCAGCACCACTGTTATGAAACGATCCACAGTCATGGCAGTCAGTAGAATGACGCTACTGTAAGTACCAAGAAAGTATGTCGCAATCATAAATTTGCAGGCAAAGTCACCAAAGACCCAGTGGTGCAGCTGATCGACGGCCCAGAACGGAAGTGTGACAGTGAAGACCAAATCAGAGCAGGCCAGGTTCAGGACAAACAAGTCTGTAACCTTTTTGTTCTTGTAGGTGACAAGAACACATAAGAGGAGAATGTTGACTGTGACACTGATGATGAAGATCAAAATGTAGAAGACACCACTGAGGGTTTGGAAGTCAAAAGTCTCACAATCATATACTCCAAAACCACTGTCGAACTCACTTTGGTTGTTCATTGTGGAGTCGTAGGTTTTCTAGAAAATATGAGCACAAAATTATATTTGGCAAAATGTACTTAAGACTGAGCTTAAGTCTCCAATCTTTCAGCAATTTGTGATTTAAAAAAAGTATTTTCTTGTCAAATATTAAATATGGAGCAGAATAAGCTTTTTTACTCATTTGACATGAAATAGAAGAGTAAACAAAGGTGTTACCAATGATACTAATTAAGTTCCATTTAGTGTAACAGAGAATGGAATAGAACGTTCTCCAGTGTCATTGGTAACACCTGTGGTTGCTATGCCATTTCAAAATGGCCGGCGTAAAAAACGTCCATTTAGTACTAACAGCTAAAATATGGGGAGCAATAACAGTAAGTTTAAAGCAGCTTACCCTGAACAACGGCTGTCACGTCTTATGCTGACTTGCACTGTGAAGGAAAAGCTGTGATATACAAGGGCAAATTCGTGGTTCCTCTTTTTGTTTCACATTAAGGTGCCACATCAGCATTCCAGCTTGAGAAATTCAAGAAATGTTTGAGGTTTGGCTTTTACGTGTGTACAACACTGACGGTAATTCACTGTTCAAAACAAAGACACTCCAGAACTTAAACTGAGGGATTTTTATTTTACTGTAAAGCATGTATATAATGATGATTATGATGATATTGTGTGGGAAAGACACTATGAACAAATCAATTGAAACAAAAGTAACACTGAAAATATAGAAGATCTAAATGATTTATATGACAAAGTAAAATGCAGTTAATCAAAGTGAATCACTTACAGTTACATCATCTCTGTTACAATGTGTAATCAGTTTATCATCATGCATTCAAAATCACATAACACAGAGACACTTATTGTTGTTTAATAACAGCACAGTTTGATTGGAAACTACAAGATGGAATTATGGATGAAACATTATACATTACATAACATTGTTGTCAAATAAAAGCCTCACACACCCAGTGGCCAGGTACCCCCTTTCTAATACTAGTGAGATCTGGTGACTGACACTAAACTCATTGCCTGACAAAGTGACATATTTTATGGATAATTAATATTGTATTTGATTAATAACATATACACACCTAATAAACTGTACAATCAACCCAAATAGTGAACACAACAACTGCAGGAAGTTTGTGTCCTTTAAATGTAACTCTCTGTCTGTATACGTTTTTTTATTTTTTTATTTTTAACAATCATACATACTTAATAAGCCTAAACCTGTTGTCTTTGACCCCTTAAAATCAAGAAGTCATTGCGACCCTTGTTAAGCTTTAGCGAACCATAGGTTAGGACCCCCAGGTTGGCTACCAGTACATCAGAAGATAAGCTGACATAAAGGGATGCACATGGTCAGCTACAATACTCAGGTTAGTTGCTTACCTGATTTGTTAGTTAAACCATGATCAATTGGTATTAAGGGGCTTGATGTGTGCCAAGAAATCATTACACAACCACCGACAGCCTACACCTTTTACACGAGGCAGGATGGATCCATGGATTCATCTTCTGTTCTTCTGTTCTAAATATATGGTCAGATAAAGTAATGTTTTGCAGTCTTCTGCTGTCCAGTTTTGACTCTGTGCCTACTGTAGTTTCAGTTCCCTGTTCTTATTTAAGTCACTGTCGCTGTTGTAAGTGAAAATTCCAGGAAATCAGCAGTTACTGAGAAACTCAAACCACCCAAACTGGCAATCTTACTGCGGTCAAGTTCTTACCACATGATTGGCTGATTTGATAATTGCATAATCAAGCCGGTCCACCGGTGTACCTAATAAAGTGGCCACTGAGTGTATGTCAGCTATGACTGTAGCTTGACAACTATGCACGCTTGAGCAAATAATATACACAACCATGCTAGCAGTTCTGTGGGACAGTAAATAGACACAGCAGAGCTTTGAGTTAAATGCTAATGCTAACATGCTGATGTTTAGCAGGTGTCCCATGTAATCAATTAAGCTAATTTAAAAGGACCTAGATTTTGTTTGTATCTGGTTTAACACAGCAAACTTAGCTAATGTACTGTATGCTATTTAAATTGTGATTACAATGCTACCAGTGGGGTTAATCATCTTGGAATAATGTGTGAACATTCCCAAATCAGAATAGGAGTGCCGACTTTGAATGCGTCATCCGCCCTGATGGTCTAGGGCTTGTGGGTAATGCCCAACATTATCTAGACATATGGAATGAAGCACACAACATACTATTACAAGCCTGGATTGTTAGTTATTTGCGAACACATATGTCAGTGCGACTTTGAATTAAGTTTCCTTTCTCTTAGTACCTGGAAACTGGAACTACATCGAAAGCTCTTCACCACTAGTTATAGATAGGATTGTGAGTCGGTTTTGTCTACTACGGATGCTGTTGTTGTTGGGACTCCAACTCTTCAGCATTTTCTTCAAGTGGTTTTTGAATTTAACCCCCACAAACACATAAAACACAGGGTTAAGGCAGCAGTGTGAAAAGGCAAAAAGACGGCTAATGTAAAAGGCGTAATCCAGTTGTTTTAACATTTCACAGCTTCCAGCTGCAGCGTTTGAGTCAGCATATTGCTGGCGCCAGTCATATAATGACTGTAGAAATATTACTATATTGTAAGGTCCCCAGCCCATGAAGAAAACAATCATGAGAGTGAAAATTAGTTTTAAAGTTTTGTTCTTCCTTCTTCGGGCAGTGGGACGCAGCAACCTGCACATAATCTGAGAATAGCAAAAGATGAACACCACTGAACTCAATATGAAGAGAATATTTTGCTGGTAGATTCCCCATAATTTCCAGTAAGAATCCTTAAACACACAGTAATTGTTGGTGACATGGGTGAAGGCGAAGGCTGGGCTGGCAGCCAATGCACTCACTGCCCAAATTATCAGAGAGGCTAGGACACTGTAAAAGCCTTTGGTGGACACAATGTTAGACAGAGGATTCATGACAGCTACGTAACGGTGAGCAGTCATCAGGATGAGGAGGATGCCACTGCTGTAGAAGCCAGTGTAGAAGACAAAGCTGACTATTTTGCATGCATGTTCCCCTAAAGTCCATCCATAGACGTGGTAGTAGGCCCAGAAGGGCAGGCCGGCAGTGAAGAAGAGGTCTGATATAGCCAGGTTCAGGATGAAAGTGTTGGTGAGGGATCTGAGATTCTCATACATGGCCAGAATAACAATGACCAGGATGTTGCCGAACAGACTGAGGATCACCACAATGGAGAAGAACACTGGAGTGAAGATCGCTCCAGCTTGCACGATGCTTGTTCTGTAGCACATTTCAGAATCACTATCATAGTATTCGTTGTAATAGCTCCCATTTTCGTAGAATTCTGAGTCAGTGGTCATGCTTGTAGAAGGTGTGACTGTGAAGTATTCAGTAGTAGCCATTTTCTTCCTGCAGGAAGAAGGGTAAATCAAACAGGTCAGATTACACAGACTACAATTTTGAGCTTGATGTGCAAGAAGAACTAAAAGCAGCTGATGGATGTGACTTCAAACAATCTGTTCATATTGTGCACTTTATTGTAATATAATTACCTTAATATAAATTTTAAAGTGTTATTTGTATTATTATTGCCTTGTGGGGTGAAAAACAGCAGTTTAATAAATACATGTTATGAACAATTCAACAGCAACAATCTCTTCCCATTAGCAATGTTTCAGTTACTCTGGATAATCCACAAACTTCACTGTGAGCTCTTTAGGAGATGTTTATTTTAATGGTAGAAAATATTCTTTGTGAATGGTATTAAACAAAATTCCAGTTAATTTAATTTCCCTACAAGGTTACTGCAGAAATAAAAGTTAAGTATCTCCAAAGCAAGCCAAATAAAACCAAAACTATTGTTATAATGATAACTAGAGGAGTATGGGAAGGTTATTATTTCTTAAATCTGGGTGAACTGCACCTTTAAATGTTTTCTTTGCCTCTGTTAAAGCTACACTATTACAACAAGGAGATACAATGTCTTTCTTCCATCGTTTTACACTGACACTGACTGCAACTGTTTAGTCATCATATCCACATTACAGATATTTCAGTACAACAACAATAAACAACATGTAAACTTTAACTTAATATTGCTGAGCCCTACCTCGTGAGAGATCCTGTCTGTAACAAATAATTGAGTGGAAGCATACTGTACCTGCACAAAGGCGATGCACACACCAGAGCCTTTCCTGCAAATATCACAGGAACTGGGAATTGCTCCTTAAGTATCGACCACAAAGGTGTCACGAGGTAAAATCATATCATCATTTTCAGATCACCCACATACACGACTTCTGATGTGTTCAAACAATTGATGTGAAAAGACATGTTCCCTTTGATTGTTAATACTTGTTTCTGCTGTCCATTATGCTTTACACTTAATCTCAAACATACTCTATGTTGTGTGACTGTTAGTACAGGTAAACTATTTTAATTTCTCAGTTTTTGTTTTTACATAACAGTTTTTGTGAACATAATCCAACAGGGCTGCAATTTACAATTATTTTCATTAATGATTAATCTGTAGATTATTTATTTGAATAACTGATTAATAGTTTAGTCTATTACTTGTCATATTATCCAACCAACAAAAGACATGCAATCTATAATACTATTTTAAAAAACTAGAACTAATCTTAATCTTCAAATATATTATACTAACTAAATTATCCAAATAGTAGTCAGTAATTGATATTTTGCCGAAATACTAATTGATAAATAATTATTCACGAAAACGTAATTGCTGTGTTATAGTAAAAAAAAAAAAAAACACACAACCTCCCCCTCAACTGGTTCTGTCTTAATAATTTAATGGAATTTAATAATATAATTAATAAAAACAAAAAAATAGTCAGTTATGCCATTAGTTATTTATTAGTCAACTACTTATGTTATCTTGTCAAAAATCCCTTAGCCCGTCTAATTAAATAATACAAAGACGTCAGATTAGTCACAACATATATTCTTCAATTATATTTAATAAAATATTAAGCTTATAAAGCAGGACACACGTCTCAGCTTTCTGTTTATTTACCAATTGTCTCTCAACCAAACTTTCAGCAGTAGCAAGCGGCTATTTGTCCTTTAGCCCTGTCAATCATCCACAGTGCCCGCCCCTAATGGCAGCAAGTTTCTGCTGTATCATCTACAAACTGGACACTCTGGACAATTTTACACATCAAGTACGTCTTTTTCCTAACAATTTATTCCATTTTGAAGTGTTTTTTCTTTATTTACAACCAAGCCGCGGTGATTTGTAACATAAATCTGCATGAAATACGACCGGGAAATGAAGAGCTGAGAACAGGTGCATGTCCGATAGCTCTCGACAGCTTTGACAAATCGATGTTTATGTGACGGTTTGTTGCATTTTTAAAGGTGTTTGAAAGTGATTTCAGTCAACTTTGCTTGTTTGTAATGGCGACGGTAGATGACAGCAGATAAATGGTGTGTCAGTGCGGATCTGATAAGGACACAGTCGCTACAAACACTGATAAGCTTTCACCTGTCGTCGTGATGTACTGTGAACGCTGTACCTCCTCTGACTGACTGACTGACTGACTGAAGGCACATTTGGCTAACTTTACTGAGCTTCTGTGGTTTCTTCAGCAAGCATGTCCCCTAAACAAATTCACAGACCCATGTGGAATATTTAAATTTGTCTAATTTGGTTAAGAGTTCAGAAGTCAACCCTGTCTTTATGAGAGAGTATTATTTTTATGTTTAGTAACAGCTTTGTCATGTTGATGATATTTATTTAAATTATATTCTTGACAATTCAGGGATATTAAGGAACAGTGTTTATGTCATGGGGACTATTCTGAAATAATAATAATAATCTCTGTTATTTTAATCCCACATGCAGAATACCCTGACTGCACTGCCCGTACCCCACAATGGCCTCCTCCTCATCAGTTGGAGATAATCAACTGCAGAGGATAATCAGAGATTTGCATGGTAATTAAACTGTTCACACTTACAATAAACACCATCTCCTATAGTCTCTTACAGTATATTACTCTGTGTGGCACGCAACAGGTTTTTTTAATGGGTATTTTTAAAATAGGTGTGTGTGTGTGTGTGTGTGTGTGTGTGTGTGTGTGTGTGAGACCAATAATGGACCAAAAGGAGAAATCCAGGGAAAAACTAATAGAATCTGCATACAGATCAGTCACAGATTTCTATAGTGAATGTGTTGTGATCTATAGAAATGTCGGAGCAAAAGCCTATTTTTTGCCTTCTATGTGTAAACACTAACATAGTTTGATATAAATATATATATATATATATATGATAATAATGCTGTAACTGCCTTGTTTAGATGCTGTGTTAGAGTTGAGTAAAGAACACAGGGAGTGTGGTGAACCCATAACTGATGACAGCGCCAACCTGCACAAGTTCTTCTATAAACTAGAATACCTGCTACAGGTAAGGTATACAAAACAAAACTTTAAACTTAAAAAGGTTTCATTTTGACTTTCTGATTGATTGATTTGATTTTCTGTCTGATCTTAATTCTTCTTGTGAGATGCTGGTGACTTATGACTTTTAAAGCCATTAAAACAAAACAACCTGAGAAAGGAACATCTTTTTTTTTGTCTTAAGTGAATTGTCGACATAAGGATCAGATGTAAAAAAAGATGTGTAAACCGTGCTCCCAACCCTTAAAAACCGCTCATCACAGGTTGCATATATCTGTGGGTTGTGAGAAATTCCTCCTCCCTAAACCTCTCAGATTGTTTTATTTGCTACAGGCCATAAAAGATGAAACAAGAAAAAAATTAAAAATATAAGAAATGTAACGTGTGTAGCAGAACTACAGTAAATGTTTTCCTCCCTGTGCCATTAATTATCTTGTGACCAATTAAATGCATCTCTTGACCCCTTTGGAGGGGTCTCGACCCACCAGATTGAAAGAAAGACTGAATTGAAACAGGGAGGAAACTGATTTAGGAGTTATATTAATTACAGTTTGAACCAAGTTCTCAACTACACACTGCAGTGTCGGACAGTTTCTGAGGATGTAATGTAATAATCAAGTGATGTGTATTTCTTAGTTTGACCAGAAAGAGAAGACAACCTTTCTTGGTCAGAGGAAAGACTACTGGGATTACTTCTGCGACTGCCTGATTAAGATCAAGGGAGCTAACGATGGCATCCGTTTTGTTAAGTCCATCCCTGAGGTAATCCTCCTCTGCAACACACACACAATCACCCTCGCTGACTTGGCCCTGCCATGGCGTGCAACGCACACAAATACGCAATGACTATAACCATGTAACTAATCCTCTGCTCGGTCGGGGACAGTAAGACTCAATGCTGCTAATTTTCTTGCTGCCTTACAACTGTACCTGCTGTACTATACTGTTTCTGCCTCACCTTCTATCCTGGGAATTCACAGTGGTGAGCTTCATACTGGAATAACTGTAGTCATATTAGTCCTAATTTATGCTGTATTTAATTAGTAGGTTGTTTCACGTTCTGTGTGCCTGTTACTGAATTTGTTTATGCTTAAAAATGTCATATAAAAGCCATGTTGTTCTTTCTAATAGGCCACAACTAACAATTATTTTCAATATTAATAAATATGCTGAATTTCTTTACTCAGTTAATCATTTAGTTTATACAATGTAAGAAAATGGTTGAAGAAAATGCCCGTTACAATGTACTAAAGCTCAAAGGTGACATATTCAAATTGCTAGTTTTATTTGATCAACAGTCCAAAAAGTATTTAATTTACAGTCATATATGACAGAGAAAAGCAACAAATCCTCACAAGTTTGTTTTTGTCTCTTAAAAAAAGTTTTTCTTTTCTGTTAACTATCTGAGTGTTTAATTGCATGTTTTCAGTGATGCTTTCAAAAATAATAATTGGAAATATAAATGTGTGAAGGCTGTAGTAACATTTCATTGCTAATTTATATTCTATGCTAAAATTACACGAGAATACACATCCAGCATGCTACTTTGGAAGTGGATCAATAACTGGTGCATTGTGGAGCAGTGCAGGGCTACAAAACAAATGATTGTTTTTGTTATCAATTCATCTGCCAGTTATTTTTGCAATTAATTGATTAATATGCTTGTTCTCAGAGCCCCAGGTGATCTTGTATCTTTAGATGTCTTGTTGTCTGACCAACAGTTCACTCTACATTCTGTATATGAGATAGTAAAGCAGGAAATATTCACATTTGAGAAGCTGAAACCAGCAAATGTTTGTTTGCCAGAAAAAAAGATTAGACTAAAAAGATGAATCAATTTTCAAAATAATTGCCAATCAACCATTCAGTTATTTGAATGGTTGTTTGGCTCTAGTACAGTGCCATGGTTCCATTTTTTAGGAAAATCCTATTATAAATAAGCTGTACTCTAGCATAAGAGAGCTAATTACTGAATAAGTCTTGCTTTATAAGCAAAGCAAGACCACATGTCTCATTTTATGCTAATTGGCGCTCATTCATTAGCAAAACATATCTGTGGTTTAAAGTTTCCTCTGGGATTTACAAAAGTCACTATTTGTGTTCTTGAGATGTTACATAGTTTAGTCAATACCAGCTGACAGCTAATTACTTGATGGAAACCTTTGGTACTCTAACTTAAATTGTTACTTTTACTCTTATTTTACTTTTCTAGTTTCTTGTCGGTCAGTCACTGACGTAAGTCTCCAGCTGGTGTTTATGGTAGATCTGTGTGTCTTACTTAAATCCATCCATCTGCTTATGTATTGAAGAGTCTGGGCAGACAGACACTGTAGATTTAGTGTCGATGATGATGACCTTAAACTTGGACAAAATGTTCTGTGCTTGGACACAAAACACAATTTTACATTAGGGTCAACTAGAGCTGAACAATCAACAGAAAAAAAGAAATCATTTTGATTTCGTTTGAGGGATCTTTTTAATAAAACCCCATACATCCCCTTGTTGTGGCTTCTCCAATGTGAGGGTTTTCTGCTGTTCTCTGGTTTATATAATTGTGAGCCAAATATCTTTAGATTTTTGACGGTTACATTTGAAGACGTCATCTTGGACCCTAGGAAAATTTTTGTTATCTTCTTACATTTTATAGACTAAATGCCAAAATGGTCCACTAGTAAGAAAATAATGGGCAGACTAATTCATAATGAAAATAAATGTTAGTTGCAACGTTGTTAAAAATTACATTTTAAAGTCCTGCAACTGTAACATTCACATTATCACATTCAAATATTCAGAAAGCAGGGGCCCAATTTGTGTTAAATAGTTTGACCTGTATGATACTGACTAGCCTATGAAAGAACCCTTAGTGCCTACTGAGGTTAGTGCCCATCACAGTGAGGTAATGTCTGTATATAAGTGTGAACGTACACTAAAGTGCATGTTTTTGTGTGTCGTCAGTTGAAGACATCACTGGGGAAAGGAAGGGCCTTCATCCGCTACTCGCTCGTTCACCAGCGTCTTGCTGACACGCTGCAGCAGTGTCTTATAAACCAGAAGGTCACAAGGTCAGAAGACATACATATTCTTATATACTCTGTATTCTGTATCAACATTTTTTCCCTCCAAGTTGCCCAGACATGTTTTGCACCACTGAGATGCGGTTTGACGGCATCCTTGCATAGGAAGTGTGACTCTCCCTTCCTGAAACAAAATCTTATTTCTGTTTTTGCAGAAAATGCAACTGCCACATAGACCAGCCACAGACACCCACACCCACAACCACATCTCACTTCCTCAGCCATTCATCTCCAAATTTCCAAAAGTTTGGTTTCCAATCGCGTCTTCGGCATAATAGAATAGGAGGAGAAGTACTGTATGCTGTGTCTTCATCAATGGCAGATTGTGTGCACAGTGTGTGTTTGTGTCGGGTCAGTCACGGCATCATATGTTGACCAATCCCTCACAATCTGCAGACATCTTAACCATCTAATTGAAAGTCCAATGGGTTTTGGGTTTTTTTGGGGAAAAACACTTGCTTTTTAGATTAGAATCCGAATACTACACTGTATGGTAAATGTGATGCTACTGCCCGCAGCCAGTTAACTTAGCTTAGCATAAAGGCAAGCACAAACAGCTAGCCTGGCTCTGTCCAAAAGTAACAAAATCTGCCTACAAGCACCTCTGCAGCTCATTAATCATTTTCAATTAAATTAGTTTGATTTCATTTTAGTCTTAGTTGACACAATTATATATTAGTTTTGTTTGTTTATTAGTATGAAACGGTGCACAGCAATCCACAGTGACCTTAACAACATTGGTTCAAATGTGTTGTGTTAGTTCAGTGTATGTTAGCTCAACAGATAATTTTCACCTGTAGTCCCGACATAACTGAATTGATTTTGAATCATAGAGGGTAAGACGTGTGATTCTTACCTGATTTTTTCCCCCCAGACCCCTAGTATCTGTATTTTCATGCTTTTATTCTTTCATGCTTGCATCTGTTTTTTTTTCTTTGTTTTATTACTATGCTGTGTGTCCCTGCATGGGATCAATAAAGCTTATCTTAACATAAACAACACACTTAAGACATATTGCGAAACCAATTGTATACACTTTGTTTTGTATCAATTTATGTTTTTATTGTTTATATTTTTCTCCTGCAGTGACTGGTATTATGTCCGGAGTCCCTTCCTCAAGTCTCACCTCACTGCTGACATAATCAACCATCTTTATGAGCTCAACCAAATCCAATTTGACGTGGCAGCCAGAGGTTACGACCTTGATGCTGATTGGCCAAGCTTTGCGAGGTAACCAATGTCTTCAATTATCTGTTTACACTTTTACAATCATTTTATTTCCTTCCTTTTGTTGCAAAAAATAAACTTGAATCTTGAATCTAAAAAAAACCACACGTAAAAGTAAAAGCGTATAGTTCTTCTGCCTCTGGGCTGGAAATAGTTTATAAATTGATCAGAGACAGACGTTTAGCCAGTTTAGTTTAGCTAATGGAAAATTGTGGTGAAGCAGTTTTGGGTATTGCACGACTTGAAGTAACACTTAATTATCTGATCACTCTGCACATTCACAGGTCTTGTGTGTGTAAATGTGTGTGCTAGAGCATGTTGATGCTGACATTGTGAGCGTTGATGATTGTCAACACCTTGGCCAAAAATGTTCACTTCCTTTTCTTGAATTTTCAGACACTCTACGGGCAGTGAACACAGTTTAATTTGTGGTGTTGTTGTTGTTGTTGTGAATCACATTATTCAGATTATTATTTAAATCTTACAATATAATTCAGTGCAGCAACACCTACAACAACATAAGCTATGGCCTAAAAGATTACCTGAAAAAAGGTTGAATTAACAATACCTGTCACGCACATTATAAAATAATGATGTAATTTAAAAATGCATTGTTTCTTTTGAGGGCTATTGTATAGGATTACAGTAGACAGTATAGATGTGGTATGTATGATATGCTCAACACCCGCTGTTTTTTTCTTTCTTTTCTTGCACTTCAGGGCAAATATTTGTTCAGCTTGTCATTTCCCATGAGTACCCTGAAATTACTTGATGTGACACTCACACAAACCCTCACACTTTGTTGTTTAGCATGAATCATGCCTGGGTGGCTAAATAGTTTTACCATTGTACGAAGAAATGTTAGATATATGTCATTATATGTAACTTCCAGGAATACGTTTACTCTGAAAATAGGTTTCTGACTTTCATGTGAAATCTAATTCACTGTAAAATAGGAAGTTTTAAAGGTCCAGGCTTCACAGGTTCCTAATAATTTCCTAGATAACAACTGTCAAAATTTCAGAGAAGGGACTGTGTAATTTGTTACTAATCATAGGAGAACTGGACACAATGCTTAACTGGTAAACTTTTAATTAATTTTAGTGAATTGGTAGCATAAACATCTTTTGACAAAGAAATGGTAATCTAAATGTAAAGTTTGACTTTCTGTGCAGTTTTAAATTACAGGCAAACATATTCAACAAATATGGAGATAAAGTAATATAGGTTTCTAACAAATAAATTCATCTTTCTATCAGTTCTTCACTTATCAAGTGGTTCTGTTTTTTCAAGAAAATTCCTCTGAAAATCAACAACCAAATATAAACTGAACTCACAATTGCATTCTCTAAGTATTGAATAATTTCCTGGCTCTTTGCTGTGATAATGTTGTTGGTGTTACTCACTTCTGTAAACTTAAGTTCCTCTCTTGCGTTAAGATTGTTATCGTAAGCATGTTTGTCTTACTGTTTGTCTTACGGTTTTGATCAATGACCTTAATTATTTGGTATCTCATTATGTCAAAGGCGGACAATAGGCACTGCCTCATCAGCTTTCCTGTGGAAGCCTCCCAGTCGCTGCTCCAGCATCAATAGTCTTGTTAGCAGCTACGCACACTCACAGGTACACACACACTTGTACGCATATTGCACACATATTTGTGTAAATGTGACTGTTTGAAGTGTAGAGCACCTGACCAGAGTTCTCTTGTTCCATTCACTGAACAGGCGCAGGAGGTTCACCCAATCCCAGACTTGAGTCACAGTCTCCTTGGTGAACTGGTAGAACTGGGGGAACCTTCTCATTGCAGTATCTCAGAGAACCTCCGCATTGCGCTGGACCAGTCTGAGCTCAGACAGCAAGAGCTTCTAGTACAGGTTCAGGAGTTAGGCAAAGAGGCCGCTGAGCTGAAAGGTGTGGTCAAAGACCTTCAAGGCCAGCTATTAGCAGCTCAGAAGTCCTCTGGCCACCCAGTGTCCACAGCAACCCAAAGAATCCAAGAAACAGATAATCAGGAGAGGGCAAATCACCTTCAAACCTGTAAAGAAGTAATAAACAGTGAACTTCAAGAAAGACTCACAGCTGCTGAGAACAAAAATATGGAGCTTCTCTCTAAGTTGGATGACGCTCTTAAAGAAAAGGGACAACAAACAGCTAGCTACTGCGACTCAGCCTGGAAAATCCAGGAACTCCTGGATAAACTGAAGACAGCAGAGGAGGAGAGGTTGGAGGCAAAGAGAGAGGCTGAGGACAGGTCCAGGCACTCTGAGCGTCTGTCCCAGGAGCTAAAACTTAGGGAAGAAGAGTTGAGGAACAGTGAGGGGAAGTTGGCTGAAGTAAAAGCCGGAGCCCATGATGAACATGAGGAGGCGCTCAAACGGTTGGAGGAACTCCAAAGTGCAGTCGGTCGAATTCAGGGAGCGCTGACTTTGAAAGAGAAGGAGACGGGGAACCTGAGAGCTCAGCTTCAGGATCTACAAGCATCACTGGAGTGCAGGGAACGGCAAGCAGAGGAGTTGAGGAGAAGACTGCTGGAGGAGAGGGAGGAGGAAGAGCAGAGATGTAGCATGAGCGGTAGCGAGAATGAGGAACTCGAGAGCCAGCTGTTGGATGTAAGAAAAACTCTAAAAAACAGAGAGAAAGATCTAGCTGTGAGTTCAGAGAGAATCAAGCATTTAGAGGAGCAACTAGAGAAGCTAAATGTTGAGAAAGAAAGTCTGAGCTCTAGATTTGCTGATAATGAAGATGTTTCTTGTGATCAAACCGAGAACCTTGAAGACTACAAAACCCAATGCAGCAATCTCATGGAATTAAATGCAAAGCTACTCCAAACAGTTCAGAAGAGCGAGGGGAGCATTACAGAGCTAACTGAGAGCAGGGAAGCCTTGTTAGACCAATTAGCTTCTTTGAGAGCCTCTGAGAAGCACTTAAAGGGCAGAGTTGAGGCTGCAAAGATGTCTGTGGAAGATCGGGAGAAGAAGCTTCTGGATGAAAACCTGCATTTGGAGGAGACTGTCCAGAAGGTGCTCGTTCAGAAGGAAGCCTCTGATGCTCAGTTGAAGAGGCTAGAGCATGAGAACGAGGAGCTTCTTGAGGTTCATTCCTCGTTGAAGAAACAGTTAGCCACAACTCAACAGGAAGTGGACTCACTCACTGCCAAATCTGCAAAGTTGGACAAGAACCTCACAGTGTCCCAAAGAAGCCAAGCAGAGTTACTTGAAAAACTGCAGGAAACTGAGACTAAACTGAGAGAGCAGACTGTAAAATGTAGTCTTCTGCAAGCTAGAGCGGAAGAGCTGGAGAGCCGGACTGGGGAGCTGCACGATGAAAAAGGAGCTGCAGAGAGCAATGAAAAAATGCAGAAGCTTCACGATGAGCATCAGACATCCTCAATGGAAACCAAAGAGGCCCCGTTCAGGCTAGTTATAGCTGAGGCTCAGTTGGAACTCAACCTAAGGGAGGTGCACCGGCTCCGGGAAGAGGTGGTGGAGCTCAGGGCTCAGCTTCTAGCAGGAACTGAGGAGAGGATGAAAGTTCAGGCACTGCAGGAGGTGACAGAGTCCTCAAGAGAGGACCTCCGTGTCTTAGCAGAACAACTGAAAGCACAGGTGGAGGAGCTAAACCGCCGGCATGTGGATGAGATTCTCCGGTCCCGGGAGCGAGAGGAGGCTCTTGTCCGGGAGCGTGATGGTGAGGCTCAGGCTCGAGCAGGCCTGGCTGCAGATGTGACAGCTTCCAGAGAGGAGCTCAATAAACTAAAGCTGCGTTATGAAACCTTGTGTCTGGAGAACAGTGAATCCAGGGAGGCTCTCCATAGAGCCAACACAGAAACAGCTGAACTTGGTGTGCATGTGTGTATGCTAACTGCTGAGAACGAAGAGGCTCGTCTGCGCTGGGAGGGCTTGTCAACAAGGTTGCAAGAGCTGGAGGAGGAGGCCACTCAGGAGGCAGAGAGGCTGAATACCTCCATGGAGCAGCTACGTCGGGAGAACCAGCGACTCCTTGATCAGCTCCATAACAAGGAGGGTTTGCAGGAGCTGGAGCAAGAGCTCAGCAAGGCCCAGCAAGAGACTGAAGCTGTGCAGCAGTCGAACCAGGAGGAGATGCAGGCCCTCCGCTTCCAGCTCAGCAGCCAAGCCATGAGCCACAGCAGCCAGCTCCAGGTCAGTTAACAGTTCAGCTAAAGAAAAATAGTATGCTTCAAAGCGTTTACATGCACTTAAATAATCTGGTGACATTTTCTCTTAGTTGATTTCTTAAACTTCATGTAAATGAGAAACCTGATTTTTCATACTCAAGCTAGGGGATTAGAGAAACCTGATTTCTCCTCGAGGACGCTGATTTCTCTGCCGTGTATCTGGGTAACTGGGTTCTAACTGTTTTTTTTTAAGTACACACGTGCATCGCAAAGACTTCAGATAGGGAAAGTAACAGCTCTAAGAAAGGATAAGTCATTACATGTAGTGATGCATTCTCTTATTAAATTTGAAAGTCTGACTGAAACTGAAAGTCACATAAAGTCGCCTAGGCTAAATAAATACATTTAGTAGTCTAAATAAACAATTTTCACAGCTGACTACAGCTTTTGACTGTACAATTCAGACACATTTGTGCTGCAAGGGGAAGTAGTAGAGGGAAATCTCCTTACTGACTGACCTGCTTTATACAGAGATTTACTGTAACCAGGTGACTACAGTGCAGCTAGACGTCTTCTCCGATTACCTGCGCAACCTGATTTCTCTGACCACCCTGGTTATTTAGGTGCATGTCAGTATACTGCTTGATTGTTATGAGTTAGCAATGTCAGCAAATCATTTGTGGTATGTATTCCCATCCAGACTGTGAATCAGGAGTTACAGGAAGTGAAATTGCAGCTGAGGACTGAGCAGGAGAAAGTGGTCACCCAGGAGAACAAACTCAAACAGCTCGAGGTGAGAGGATACCCTGTTTCCAGACCTGCCTGAAAGTTTGGTACTCCATCATAAGCAGATTATAATGGCTCCTGTCTAATCACTAAAGCAGTCGAAAGGTGTTTTAAATCCTATTTGAAAAGTTGATATTGTGACACTACACTGAAAGTGGTTTTAACCAAGAAAATTAAACTGTTAAACATGGCCTCTGACAAAATACATATATATGCAGCTCTATGTGTAGTTATGTGTCTAGGATTAATAAGTGAAAACACAAATTCCAGTTACATTGTGTAAATGAGCAGTTGAAGTAATCATAACATTATGGTCACAGGCATAATTCACAAAGAGCCAGAAATAATGTCTTGCTTTGCTGTACTGATTGCAGGCTGAGAATCAGAGATATTGCCAACAGATTGAGGAGAAAAACATCCAGATGGCCGAGTCTGAAAATCTCATCCAGCAGAAAGAAGACGAGATAATCCATCTGAAAGGGAATTTATCAAGGTGAGATACTGTATTCATAATCACACATTCTGGACTAAATTAGAGCTCTGTGAAAAAACGTTTTTAATCTTGTGTTTTTAGATCAGAATGTTTATTTTGTATTTAGTAAGCCTTCTCTAAGAATTAGGCACACTTATTCTTACTGTTTTTAAGATTCCAGCCTAAAAATAACAATGGCACAGACTCCTGCAGACCAAAGTCCCCTGAGAATGTTTCTGGATATATCAAATATGACCCTGTGTGTGTGTGTGTGTGTGTGTGTGTGTGTGTGTGTGTGTGTGTGTGTGTGTGTGTGTGTGTGTGTGTGTGTGTGTGTGTGTGTGTGTGTGTGTGTGTGTGTGTTTGTGTGTGTGTGTGTGTGTGTGTGTGCAGGTCTGAGGATGGTCTAGCAAAGGCTAAGCATGCCTGTCAGGAGATGAGTGAAAATCTACGGAGGATCACACAGGACAAACTGAGCTTTGATTTTAAGACAGCTGCTGAACTTGATGATCTTTACCGCACCAAAATCAATTTGGAGGAAAGGCTTGTAGAGCTCATCAGGTATAAACATACTTCATGTTACCTCGTATTTACCCTGATGTACTGTGTTTGTTTTTTGTTTTTTTGTGAAATTTAATTAATTTAAATATGCACAAAGCAGGGTTGTGATATGATGCTTAGATTTGTTATCTATGGGTTTTGTGCAATCTGCAGTATATTGTGTGATTTTTATTGCATATTCAAACATGCTCTCTGCAGGGAGAAAGATGCACTGTGGCAGAAGACTGATGCCCTGGAGTTTGAGCAGAAACTGCGGGATGAGGAGACAGAGAGAGACGTCAACTACTGTCTGGGCTGTCACAGTCAGTTCAGCTGGTGGCTCCGCAAGCACGACTGCAGGTCAGATGATCCTCTGCATTAGAAACAAATAAATGTATCACCATGCCAACCAATATGTCAATGCGACTACTTTTAAACTAGTAGTGCAACGATTTTTTTTGCAATTGCTTCAGCACATTTCCTGAAACAGTATTGTAGTTCTCAAAACATCAAAAGACATTGGTTACATACACAATATCCAGTTTCTTCTGCAAAACTCATATGCCAGAAGTAAATAAATCCACCCCTCAGTTCATCACTGCCACAAAAATTACATTTCCCTTTTGTGATTTTTAAGGTATTGACAGTCAAATGTTAAAGGAACTGAGTCGCTGACGCCCAATGACATTTTGTTTCTGTATTTCACTTCACATTTGGTCCAGTAAACTTCCTACAGCCCAACTCAGTACAAATGTCAAGTTGCTGCTCCATATTCAGGAACTGTGCTGCCTTTGGAAAACTCTCACTCTAGGTAGTGTCTTTGAGTAGAGACATGAATTACACCGTTAAACAATTTTTACTACATGTGATAAATTGCACAACATCTGGGGAAGAACATTTTACTAATTGAATTTTCAAGATTCATCTGTTATTTCAGGTGGTTGAAATATGTTGCAAGTTAGGATGAACGTGTCTGAGAGTTGAACAGTTCATTAGAGAGGCAGTGTAATCGCTATCTGCGTCACTGGATCATGTGACAATATTTGTATTTTCAGATTCTGTGTGAAAGCAACAACAAATGCATATAATGTGAGAAAATGAGCTGTAAATTTGAGAATTTAACGGTGGTTTGAGAGCCATAATTCTCATTCCACTGTTCTCAGTTCTAACAGTGAACATCAGGAGAGCAACACTTTCAACAGAAACAAGATCCCACATTAGAACACATCAGTTTTAGCCTCCTGTTGCCTTGAGGGTTTATTTAAAAATGTTACTTTTGTCTTTCATAATTAGGCCTTTCTGTGCGTGATACTTATTCTCCCTCAGCACTGCAAAATATTAATATCAAACTTAAAAAAGGTGTACATGTGTCTTATTTTTTTCTCTTTAAAAGTATTTGTAGGAATTTATTTCAAATAATAATCAATAAAAAAGCTTTAATTAACTACATAATTATTCCTCTCTACACTCACTAAACATAATAATATATAATATATATAATATAATATAATCTATGTTTCAAAATAATAAGCAAGTTTCTTAATATGCCTATTTCCAGACTGTGTGGGCGTCCCTTCTGTTACTACTGCTGCAGTAACACAGTGAGCACCCAGCAGGGCGGCAACAGAGAGCGCTGCTGCAGGGACTGTTACAACCAGCACAGTGCGGTAGTTGAGCGCTATCCACAGGAGGAAGTGAGTAACAGCACACCGGGGACACCTTTCAGTCGTTTGCTGCAGGCTGGAAGAGCTGTGACTAGTGTTTCAGGTAACAGCACACAGTCCCTCAGTAAAGTATTTGTATATTTGCTTTAGATTAGGGTGTCTTTTTAACAGCACACACACTGCAGTAAGTATAAAATGCAATAATAAAGGTGTAAGTGATGTTTATTTTCTAGGAGCAAATGAAGGTGACAAGCTGGATGATGGTGTTTTTGACATCATCACAGAGGAGGAAGTGAGCGGGGTCTATGACAGTGACTCCCTCTCCTTTGCTACTGCCTGCTCTCCTGGACATGGACAGCAGGGGGCAGCACAGCTGTAAGTATCTCACATGCATTTGCTCACAGGGGAATTAAGACTGTGGCACAGGGTGAGTCAGTGATGGAGATTCTATACAACGACATAAGAGATTAAAGCAGTCCATTACCACATGCCACCTTCAAAATAATCAGTCTATATCACATGTAATTCTGCAGGCCATTACAGTCAGAAAACTCAATGTTTTTGCAGCAGTGAAAAGAAATTCAGTTGCATTTTCTTGTCAGCATTTTCTACATACATTGTCAAAAAAAAAAATAACACATTCATATATTTGCACTACATTTCCTGCATAGCCGTACTATGTGTAAACTTTCTTTTTTTAATGGTTTCTGTATGTTTTCATTGAATGTGTACTGTGTGAGCCATCAAAGAGACATTTCCATTGCCTTAAGATGGACAATACTGTATTCTGTACAACTTTTAATCACGGTGGATGGAAATAATTCTTCATAAATTGATCTTTTTGTATAATAATGTATAAATGTAAAATATCCTTCCTTCTCTCTAGAAACAGCAGTACCAGTGCAGGAGAGATTACATCAGAAGATACAGAGGACCTCTGTGCGGCATTACAGGATGCCGAGATCTGCCTGCTGAAGTCCGGAGAACTCACGTGAGTTTCACATGCAGTGAAAGTTACACTGGAAAAATCTGTTGATGTGGTCACAAGGTTAGACCAAAACTTTCAGAGGAAGTTTCTTGTGCTCTTCTGGTTAAAACTTTGCTCTAAACCCTGAAAAGGAAGTGAAATATGAAACTAATCCATACGAGGTGTGGACAGCGTTCCTAAATGTTACTTCGTACATGTTGTGGGACATCTGTTTTGCTTCTGTTGTAATTTGGAGTTTGTTTAGTCAGTATGGGAAAAGCCTCTCATGTCAGCAAGGACCTGCATCGGTGAAGTGCCATTGAGCATTGAGTTCTAAATCGTAGCCCCAAAACTAAAATGTATTTCGAATTTTTAATAGGGAACGATAACTCCTTTTATGGCTCTAGAGGGAGCTGCGTGAAGTCTCATAATTTGAGTCAGCAGCAAAAATGTTAAAGTATTAGCCTAAGTGCAACATGAAAATGAGACTAACCACTTCTCATGTACCTAGATGTTAGATGGGAACTGGGGAGCTACTTCTTGGCTTCAGGTTGGGCTTGGATAAAATCATTTTTCGCTTTATTGACCAAACAGAAATTCAATAAAATAATCATAATAATTCAGTTATTAAAATAATTGTTACTTGCAGACCTACAATATTGTGTACTTCTATCCTGTTTTATTCACTGTGCTGTAGGCTCTCTGTCCACTTCACGGTGGATGACATCTCAGGGTTTGGGGACAGCTCCCGAGAGCTTTTCATCAAGTCCAGTTGTTACAGCACCATCCCCATCACTATGAGCAGTCCTGGTCCAACTGTCACCTGGACGTTCACCTCTGAACCGAAGAGCATTTCCTTCAGTGTGGTCTACAGGGAGAGTACAGAGACTCCGCTGGAGCAGGCCAAGGTGATTCAATTCAATTTTATTTGTATAGCCCCATTCATGACAAAAGTTATCTCAGGACACAAGGTGAGACTTCAGTATATTTATAAAGAGAACATGCTTTGGTAAAACAATAAATCTTTATTGAATCTGCCACTTTTTGACATTACAGGTGTCTGCAAAGAAAAACAAAACTGGTGATGTACACAAATAGGTGCTAAGAAGTTGTTAACAAGACGAACCTGGACCTTATTTTCACATGTTTTTTGTGAAAGTGACTAAGGGGGGCAACAAGTTTTTAATTTGGTCCTATATTTAGTGAGAGAGCTGCAGCCTGCCAGCACAGCTTCATCTGCTGTGTGTCTAACCAAGTCTTGCTTAAGGAGAAGTCTCCTTTCTGATTTCTCAGGAGAGGTGAGGTGACTTGTTACAGGAAGACAACAGTGGAAGTAGTACAGCGTAGTAAGAGTACAGAAACCTTAGCTTAGTGTTATGTAAAAAGATTTTCAATGTGATGGCTGAATATTTTACTAATTTGGACAATGTGGCTGAAGCCTTTGAATTCAATGGCCGCCCTTATTTATTTGAAATGGAGTATATGGATCAGACTACCAATTGAAGAGCAGATGAGGAGAGAGAGAGGGGGGCAACATGCAGAGGAGGGTGAACCAGCTGTTGCGAGGCAGTGAAGCCCAGGAGACTGGTGGTGTGTGTTGCTGTGGGTGCTGTGATGCACGTTGTTGAAACTTGACGTTGTGGCATGTTTGATAACTTAAGGTTGACAAGTGGCCTGCGTCAGCTTACCGCCGGTGTCACACTGTATTCTCTGAGCCATCAGATTATTTAGCAGCGCAGCAACAAGTTCCCCTTTAGGTAACAGGCAATGTGCATGCAGAAAAATCAGTTGATCCAGTTGATATTTGCCAGTCGATGTTTAATTAATATTATTTCCACTTTGTTGTTTTTACATTGTTTAATGTCATTTTCCCTCACAGCAAAAAGAAAAGTGAGTCAGTATAGTTTGTCATCCCAATAAGAAGCCTTCATTCCCCACCACAAACGAGCTAAAAAGATTCAATAAGCTGCTTCTGGACGGGATTCAGATCTCCATTCCTACATCCTCTCGTCATTCTCTCACCCTTTCAGACCTGTACCTAATGTATGCAGACACATGTTTCTCTGCTGCAGTTATGAATGTCAAACAAGATGACTATCCTTTGCTCTTTACAGGTCTTGATCCCGCTGACTCGCTGTAACTCCCACAAAGAGACAATCCAGGGGGAGCTTAAAGTCAGAAACCCCGGAGAATACACACTCATCTTTGACAACTCTTTCTCCAGGTCAGTCACTCTTTGACTCATGTCAGGGGTTTTGTGTGTTTGTTTAAAATTCTGTTAACTCTTGAGCACGAACCGCTTTTTTGCATAGGCCTTAAAACTAGGAAGGAGCAACAGCAAATGTAACGCAAGCATTCCTCTGTCCTTCCTGTTAATTAGGTTCATCTCAAAGAAAGTGCTGTATCATCTGAGTCTAGACAAGCCTGTTGTCTACGATGGAACTGACCTCCTCTGAACGTGACGGAAAGGAGGAGAAGCAGGTGCGAAACTGACTTCCGAAATAAGCTCATCCACATGGCACGGAGTCTACTGACGTTTAGCAACCTCAATGAAAGGTTATGGCATTTCAGTAACGTCTCTCTCGCCTAGCTGCTTGATCATGAGGCGTTGACGCATCGGGTGAATTCTGATTATGAGAAAGCTGAAACAGAGGCTGAAAACAATGTTACAATGTCGAATGTGAGCATGCACTACCTTTTATAAAAGCTTGATGTTGTAGTTTAAATATAGCATAACTTCACTCCTACTGTAGGTGACTGGAGGATTTATGCATATTTGAATGTGAAGATTGTGCACATGCAGGGGTCTCAACACCTGCAGATTTAGGTCCTGTACTCTTTTATTGCATCTTTGGAGACATAAAGCCACATTGCTTTAGCCTGAGGTACAATTGTCTGATAAATCAAGGTTTGTTCTCATTATTTGCCTCATTGCATAAACGTAGATTCAAAGAAGGAGTGGAAGATGTGGTATCACGGTATCCCAGAGAAACTGTTTATGCATTAAAGAACAAGTCAGATGTTTCTTTTTGACTTATGTAGGTAATTCATCTCTGAAAAATCAAGGTACTTTATCATATTGACTCAAAAAACAAAACATTAAACTACAATATTGCCATTAATCATGTGCTGCTTATTAATGTGCAACAATACCCACAATGGCCTAAAACACCCAGAAATATTCAAGAAAGAGCTACCACAGGATAAATGGTAAAGTAAAATCTCTGACAAAAATCTCCTCACACAGTATCTATCGTGAGTTAATTCAATCCCGTTCTACTTAAATAAAAATAATAAATGAGACATGACTGGAAACAAGGAGTAAACTGATGTTAAAAATAAGTAAGCAAATTGTATTATTTTAGTTGCCTAAGCTACTTTGAGTTTGAAAAATGTACTCTAACCTTAACTGAATTTGTTTTACTAGCTTAAACGTACAATTAGTGAACCATCTGTAACTAACTCTTTGAACTGGTGTGTTGATATGATGCTGTCGTAGAATTATAAACTTACTCCTCAATACTATTTGTGTCCAAAGCAAAGTTCAAGTTCATGCTCATTTCAGATCCAGTACAGTAAGATTGTTGCCTTTTCAGCTGTCAGGAATGATGAGAAATGGATTTGTTGTGTTGCAGTCATGACGAAGCATTACAGGAAGAAGCAGGACTTCTGCTGAAGCTGCAATAAAGCCGCATCATTCGGTTTAAGTTGTCTTCAGGAAACAGACTTTAACTGAGTGCCGTTTCTGATTAAAGGAGGTCAAGATTTCCATGCATGCAAACACTAAGAATGTGCATGTTTCCCCAACTTAACCCCTTATGGGTCAAAATAGGGAGCGCATATCAAAATGTAAGTTTCAGTGCTTTAAATATTGAGTTTTTACTTTGAACCTAACTTGAATCATCACTCATGTTTTGACAAGCTGATGATTTTGTATTAAATTTAGTGAAGTTGCAATTTGTCTTAAGATACATAAAGCCTTTAGATGGAGAAAGGTTTGTTTTGGAAAAACAAACATAATCATAGGTTTTATTTATAGAGGGCTTTTCTAGACGAGAGAGAGATGTTTGTTCTCCAGTACAGTTGTGTACTGTTGTGCTGTGTGATGTTACTTCTGCAGTGTGTCAAACAGAAACCTCAACATACAGCCTTCACATAATACAAGTCCAAAAATCACTTTTATACTTCGAGTTGTCTTATATGGACGTTATTATTTGAAGGCTTTAATGTTGCAATGTACCTTTATTTCACAATCACCAGTCATTTGACTATACTGACGTAAATATACTGAAACACTGCTTTGCTTTTTGGAAATTCCAAAATGTCTTCCACTATTTTAAAACCATTTTGTAACTTATATTTTGAACATGACATGAGAAAGAATATTAAGAAAAAATACAACTGACACTTTTTTTTACATATCTGAATCAGAAGAGTGATATATTGCCAAATATATTGAGGAAACATATTTGTCTATTTTATTATTTATATTTATAGACATTTCAACAGGACTGCTGTATAATGCACTTTTGAAAGGGCTTTTTGTCAGTCTGTATCCCATGAGCCTTTGTGCCAGTAAATGAATGTTTTTTCTTTTTTCACTTGTACCTAGTGAGTGTGTGATTGTAGATGTCTACTGCTGGATTTGTCAGAGGGAAGCTTTCACTCTCTGACTTAACCTGTAAATGATTGTTGACGACAAATCTTTTATTGAAATATAATTTACATACTAAAGATTTCTAATAGAATAAGATTGTTGAGAAATAAATGAGGATTGTGTGATACCTTTATAGTGACTGCTGTTTAATTTACTGTATTGTAAACTTTTTAAAGATTAATTTTGAGCTTTTTATTTCCTTTATTTTATCTGAAGAATGACAGGAAAGTGGGGAGGGAGGGAGACAGAGAGGGGGATGACATGGGACTGTGAAGTGTGTGATACTTTTGTCCTCATTGTAACATACTGATAAGTATTATTAAGTCGTGGTTACGGCTGGGAAACTCAGAGTTTATCCAATATATCTGCTTTACATCGGTCAAAAAATTTCTTTCAGCCTAGTTAAACTCCTTTTTTCAGCAGAATGAGTATTTTGACACATTTGAACATTTTACTAGTAATACTTTCACAGTAAGGTTTTGAATTTAGGACTTGTAGTGGTGTATTTTAACAGTGTGGTAGTTTTATCTATTTATGGTGTTTATTCATAGTGCAAGTCTACAAGATTAGTGAACAAGAAGACACATAAAAGACATGACAAATTAAACCCACATTTAATGAATATGGTGTTATCTTGTCAATGCACAGTATTTTAAGCAACTTTGCAATCATGGAACTATCCTGAGGACACAAACAAGTTGTTAAGAAGACAATATTTCCAATCTCTACTTTCCATCCAATTTGACCTGAGCACTGTATTTACTCATGGAGCCACTAGCAAACTAATGAACTAAAGTAAGTATATCATACCTTCTAATTGTCTTAGTGTACTGTTTTTAAATTTATTATAATGAGTTTGTTCTAAGAGGAAATTATGTAATACGTGTTCCAGTACAGTTCAATCAAACTGCCACTTTGTTTGAAAGTTACAGCCGATATGAGTTCACAAACAGAAAAGCAAAAATGTCATTTTAGTTTGATATTTTATTTACCATAATATTTCTGGAGCTAATTCCCCACCAGTGACATTATTTTGTCACTTTTCCAGTATAAACACGCCACATAATCCAACCCTGCTTAGATTTAGTATGTCATTATTCAGTATTTGAGACAAAGCTAATGTTTTGTTATTTTAAGGATCAATTGAAATTTGAACATTGTGAGTGTGTTTAGATGTGTGTGTGTGTGTGTGTGTGTGTGTGTGTGTGTGTGTGTGTGTGTGTGTGTGTGTGTGTGTGTGTGTGTGTGTGTGTGTGTGTGTGTGTGTGTGTGTGTGTGTGTGTTTGCCTATAAATACACCTGCTCACCTGCATGTGTTTTTTCTGAGCAGTCACGAGTGTGTTGTGTGTGTGTGTGCACAAGGTATTGTTCTTGCGAGGTGTCTGTCTGAGAGATAGTGTTTATGTCGCAGAGGCCATTCTGCTTCTCAAGGTTAATGATCTCATTGTAAATCATGTCACATCTACCCCATCCTCCTCCTCCATGACTCCTCTTCTGCTTTTCTGCCTACTGCCTCCACTGAATCTCTGATTTGCATGTGGCTGTGCACATGTATGAACTATATATATATGTATGTATGTATGTATGTATGTATGTATGTATGTATGTGTGTGTATTGGGGGTTGTTTATAAGAGCGTATGTGTGTGCTGAATGTTAATTTACACACACATAATTGTAATCAATTCACAGATATTCATACACACACAATACACTCACACACAGTATGCAGAAGTAAATGCATTCTCATACATGCATGAAAAAAACACTCACACACATATTATAATGAAGAACATCCGTTGCAGGACCAGCAGACTGAAATACTATTTTTTTCCTGCTGCAGTTGGCCTTTTAAATAACATTATGTGATATTTGTGTTATATTTATGCACTTAGAACACTTACTTTATTTGTTTTCTCAGTGGTTGTTGCCTGGTAATGTTGTTTATTGCTGTACAACAAATTGCCCTATTGCCCTTCTACTACCCTTGAACCCTCAAACACTTTAGCTCAGATCAGGAGATTGTGTTTCTGACAGTTACACAGACTTTGCGGTACTTCTCAGACCACGCGATACAACTTGTCAGCATTCAACTTCCTTTTTGTCATAAAAAAGAGAAACGCTTGTATTATCTGTGCCTTGCAGCTTGTCAAAGTCTCCTGCTGTTCAAACACAGGCTGTAAGACTTTTTGCAACGTATTTCCACAGAGAATTGCAGGGCTTGAAGTGTCAGCCACATTGCATTTGTCTGTGTCACCCGAAATGTGTCATGAATCATTTGTCTAAAGTGCTCCTGTGTGAAGTGATGTGCTCTTCACAGTTTAACCCCTGTAGCAGATATAAATGTCTGTCAGGGGATGAAGAGGACATCATGTAATAATCAAACCCACTAAAAGACAGATTATCAAGAACAAGACATCCAGAGGAAAAGTAAGGTTCCCTTTTTAGACTCTCTTTAAACAAAACTAACAAATATAAAAAAAAACTCTTTCCATTCAGGGCCTACATTTAAAATATGATGACTTTTTATACTTGTATTCATCATATAACTAAGTTTTAAATAGTTTTAACTTATTAACTTTGTTTTCTAAGATGTGCTTTGTGTTTTTACCCGGTGTTTCTGTTTTACTGCTGTGAATCCATGTGGGGACATATAACATAAACAGCAACGGACCAGTGGTTACTAAAGTTTTTAAAAGACAATAAATCTTATATTTATTTTGCATGTATGAAAATACTAAACACACATCCTCGAACAAAATATTGTTCAGTATGAAAAGCAAACCACGCTGTTTTATTTTCTCTCTTAAAATCTGTTGAAAATGAAAGCAGGTTTTGTTTCCAAATATCCATTTGCATTGTTGCATTATCAAAAACCTAATCAATAAAAGTGATGGGCGACATGAAAAAAGAACAGTGTGAAAATTTATAAAGTGATTTAGATCGTTAAAACTTTTTTACCTTTTTTGTACTGGGAATTGAAATTGTCACCCAGTTACTGAAGAAAACCCCATCATCATGGCCGGATTAACATAAATGTAGCTTTTCTATATGTTACCAAAACAAATAAGAAGGCATTTCTTGGATCTGAAAGTGTGGTGTAACACAAAACAGGTAGTGCTGCTGCACAGGCAGGCAATCAATAAATAAACACTGCGTCACAGATAATAGTGGAATATGGTTTCAAGAGAATCTCTGTGACATAGTGTGTTTATTTATTGAAAACTGAACCTTGAGCTTGGTTTTGGGGCCGCAGGGGTAGTTGCACACTTTTCCCGCTTATTAATCCTGAATCCTTGTACCAGTTTATCCCAGTGGATTACTGCAGAGGCTGCTGGCATGGCTGCGATGAGCTTTACACACTCATGCACATGTTAGAGGATGTAACTGATGATCTGTCAACAATGTTAAATGTGCAGATTCCTTACTGTCCAGTTTGTTTACTCGGCAAACAACTTGAAACTAAAATGCAAAAGCAAATACTACATTTCAGGCAGTACAAATGGACAATATGAATGAACAGTAAAATACTGAAAATATATCAGTAAAGGAAAGAGCTGCAGCAATGGACATAAAGAACACATAATTTGATTTAGGAAGAAGAATATGAACATTATACCCCCTAGAAACCAAACCCCTGTCCCTTACTGTAAGCAGGAGAAAACAAAATAATGTGATTTGATGCAGTTCTGTGCGACTCTTACATATAACGTCTAGTGCTGTAGGCTTAAGCATCTCCAAATCACAGCAGATGCACTCTCAGGCAGCCTGTTCTCTACAGTAACACTCCCAGTTTGAGAGCTCTCATCCTCTATTTAAGCTTTCCCCTCAGACACCTTAACATAATCTGTACCTGCGTGACACTGCATTATCATAACTGAATAAAGATGGGTCAGAGTGAGTTGGCAGCCTCTCTGTGTGCAGAGGGCACAGCAGCCCTAATATGAACTTGCCACTGTGTCTCTGCGTGTCTTTGCCTGCGTGTGTGTATTGTGTGCATGTGAGCGTGCCCACACAGGCACGCTGGTGTGTATTTGTGAATGTACCCCCATCTGTCCACTTGCTGTGTGTATACGTGTGTGTTTCCTTTCTCAACATTTTCTCTCCTCAGGCTTTGCAGCCTCCCGGCCACCCCCCGTAGCGGTAATGGCAGGTCGTGTTGGCCCCACTCAGACAGTTTGCTCCTGTCAAACATAGTTTCACCCTGACGGTTTCAGCTCCTGCTGTACTGGGACCCTCCATCACAAGCTGCTGGCCTGTCAGAGACTCTCCTCACACAGCGGCGGATCTTGTTTCCTCCACTGGACTCCCCTTCCTCTATTTATTTATTTATTTTTGTGCTTTTTGCTCTCTCCATTTTCTCTTGATCCCTGTGTTCTTTGCACCTCAAGCTTACATGAGTATATAAACATGAGCTTTTCCTTTCATTTTTTTTTTAAGTATTTAATTCAACAAACCTAAAGCTCAACTTTGTTTATAAGGAACTGTAGTAGAGTTTACTTTAACCTACAATAACAGATTTTTTGGGCCACTTGAGGGGTTGTGACAACCAGCTGTATTAACATATCATCACCTTTTAAGTCATGTTTCTGGCCACCTAACTAATGTAAGTCCAATATTTACAGTCTTCTACCTTTTAATTTACAGTCTTTTCGGTGTCAACCAAATCTTAAGGAAAATATGTGGCTAAGTTCATCAGCTATTCTCTAACTGTATCTGAATGTTGTTTGCTGGGCATTAATGCATTAATGTGTACTGTAAGCAGCATTTTACAGTTGCTGCTGGTTGCGGTGGAGCTTGTTTTAATTACTTTAGAGATTTGTTATGTAGTTTAGCCGAGTGACTCCCAACTTAAAGGCTGCTGCCCCTCCAATGGGTCATGATAAATCTGAGAGGTTGTGAGGTGATGGAGTAGAAAAGTTCTGCTACACATATTTGTGAACTCCTCTCTAATCTTTGCTGTTTTTAAAGAAAAAAATACAGTATCATTTCACCTCTATGAGCTTTGAACAGTTAATCGAATGATGGGTTAATTGAATCTCTTTGGTGGAACTGCTGACAACTCATGGAGGCTCTGACCAGACACAGATGTTTTACAATAGGTCACAAGACAAAAAGATATAGATATATTTATA